CAGTGTTAGTGTTAGATGTGATTGTGCAGACTGTGCAGTTGTAAGTGCAGACAGTGTTAGTTGTTTAGTGACAGTTTAGCAAATAGTGACAGTACGTTTCTGACTTTTTATTTAAATTGTATACACTTTTCCAAACGCAGACATAAACAACACTCAAACAAGATACACAAACACATTTGTAACAGGCACATTAGTGTAATACATTAGTAAAACATAAACATATATTATATTGGTTAAACTGGTAGTAGATTAACAAAATTCGTAATACATTAATGAAATTTTTAATCATTTAATAAACCATACGCTTGAATAGCATTTTAAAAGAGTCTTGAAACATCTTATTCGTACATTGAAACGGTATCAATCAAAAGCTTTTTTTTTTTTAAAAGTTTTTAGTGTTGGTTTTTTTTTCTTTTTTTGAAGTTAAGTTTTTAAGAAATGCGAGGTATGGGAACTTGTCTTAATTAGCGATTGGTAACATGCGTAATAACAATATCAACAATTAGCCATATTACTCTATCAATAATTGGAAATATGAAAAATAATGTAAAATTTGTAGCTCTAGTCTGATTTTGAGAAAAAAATATTAAAGAATATGTCCTGTCTAAGAATATCTATCAGCAGTATCAGAGAGAGAAAGTTGTATCTGGACTTTAAAATATAAGCCAGTTTGGTGTCATTTTCAAAACAGTTTTACACTTTTTAATTATTCAAAATATTTGTTCATTTTAATGTTTGGTCAAGATATGGTTCTTTTTTGTTTTAGGGGCAAATCTTGCCGTCTTTTTTTCTTTTTTTTTGTGACGCTTATCACTACTTCTACAAAAGACCAAAATAAAAAGGCTGTCATCCAAACCAAAGCAGAAAACCCATTCTCTATCAGCATACAAAACAATAATCTGAAGCTTGATTTTTTTTTAAATTTCCTTTTGGTGCTTGTCTAAATTATTTAGAGACTTTGCGTGTGCGTCCTGCAATTAGAAAAATACCCTAGATAATACACGTTCGAGTATTAGACACTCAAAGTTTAAATTGGCAAAAGAGCTTCGAAATTAAACACGAATATAATTACTAATTTCTTAAGTGAAATGAACTGCGTAAATGAAGTTTCGATTATACCCTGCACAAAATAATAAACTAGTTATTATTTAAATTTTATGTTTTGCATGTAATTATAGATTCCGAACTATGAATTTCAAGTATTTTGTTTTTAGATATCGACTCCAGCTCAAAAATTATCTTTTATGTAATATGATAAATCAGTTTACCTAGTTTCTTGCTGATTCTCTGTTGATGAATTTTAAGCGCCGAGATTGCTGAACTCAGTAGCCTTGAAACTAAATCTACTGTTCCATCACATTTATTTCCTCACTCATCACGAGATTTAAAAAAAATATGTAAAATTGATACTTTATAGTTTTCAAGTGGCAACAAGAATTTAGCCATTTCGAAATACTGTAACAAAATTTGAATGGCGCTATCAAAAATGTTGAAATTTGATGATTTTCGATCGAAAAGAAAATCATCTCAATTTAAACTTAAAAGCTAAAAGAATATAATTATGCATGGTAGTTTACTTCGAGTTTTTCTCGTGGAAGTTTCTTTGGTGTCTCAATATATCAATAGCAAAATACATCAATTTGTAAAATTAATTTAAATGTCCTTGAAAATTGGAGCTTCGGTTGTTCCATCATTCTGAATTAAGACACATTTCTGAGGCACACGTACCAAACGTTTGAAAATAAAAGAAACTTTTGAAATCTGTAGTATGTGTTGTGTTGTTGTTTCTAATGCCACTTGCCATACTAGCAAGCCTAGCTGAAGAAACCGAGCAAATTTAAGGCAGAGTGCGCGTTTCTTGTTTTTTAGTGGCGCCATCTATGGCCAAGAATTCGACTTCTGCCACACCATTCATCCATTCATTCATCCACAGATCGTAATTTTGACCTGAATCAGAGAACGATCTATCTCCAATCCAGTACCCCCAAAGGTATTGATTTGTTATGGGAACATGGTGATCTACCTAATTTGAANAAAAATTCTCTCATTTGACCTGAAATGAAAATAAGATATGAAAGTAGAAAAAAAAATTATATAAAAATTAACTATTTTTTAAAAAAACATTCAACTTGTTAAAATGCAAAAATAATTTAGCTTCAGATGAACTAATAACAGTCTAAATGTGTAAAAGTCGAACATGATCGGTTCTTCGGTAAAGGAACAAACCATATTTCTTAAAATCATAATAGAAATTTAACAAATTTCAAGCAAAATGACTTTCTGTTAATCTTGTTAGTATTTAAAATATGGCCACAGAAAACTAAATCTTTATTTCAAACAATTATATAGCATTTCTCCATAAAACTTTGCATTATTAAAGTAGAAGGAACATTTCTCTGCAGTTTTTTTTTTTAGTAAATGGAAACTTGGGGACCAAAAACAAGATGTACACTGGAATGCAGCATTTTATTGCTGGATATATTTTGAAAAAAGTGATTTGATAACTATTTTCCTTTTTTTGCTTATACTATCAACACTGAGATAAAATTTCAGATAACTGATAAAGAAAAGAAAAAGTTGGTAATTTGTAGTTTACAACATAAAAATTCTCAAATATATAAAAAAAAAAACTCATTTTTTTATTTTTTGTCGTTTAAGGAGATTTTCCTTTCGCACCGTGTACATCTTCAAATTTATAAAAGAAGTACTTTAGATTAATTAACAACATACTCTTTGAGTAATGATAAAATATTACTGATTTCATATCATACTTATAATTTTTGATATTTAGTGGTGAAAAAATTACTTAAAATGAAAAATACTAAACTAAAAGTAACTTAAAAATCAGGATTTTTCAGGACCGGAAAGTATAAAAACTGAGCCGAACGCGGAGGGTTAAAAGATCCGTGTTTAAAAGATTTTACCTTTACCGTGGAGGAAAATACCGGTGTTTCATACTGTATTTTATAATCATATACTAGTAATATGCTTAATGTAATATATTTAACTTATGTTGGCCTAAATTATTGCAAAATAATAAAAGAAGTATGTAAAATGTACTTAATAAATATTCTGCCTCAAGCGGTTAACGTCAAGACAAAAATTGTTGCGTAAAATATCGAAAAAAAGGTTGCGGCGAGTCGGGGCAGAGTTCTCTAGTTACAATACTAATGGTTTTATGTGTTTTTTTTTCTAGCGTTTTTCAATTTCTATAAATATACCTTTTTTCAAAAGGAACTAAATTAACATCCTTTAATAAAATGACATGTAAATAAGCTCTAATAAAACGCTCACTCAAAAGTTTGAAAAATGTAGGACATATTAAATATATATCCAGTGGCCATAAGTTCAATGAAAAATAAAGATCTCAGAAGTTTCAATAAACTGAAGTGACATGCACAAAAATACGAAAAGCTTTTAAAGAATGTGCAGTTATTTCTAAAACAGAACGACCAGATCAAGCTAGTTTTTCAAGGTCTAAGGGTTAGTAACCGATACACTAAAGATATAATTGAATCGCAGAATTGAATACCTATTTGATAATCGATACAACAATGAACTTGAATGGCGTAACATTAAATAAGTTGTGTTTCCACTAATTTTTCTCCTTTTTTAATATATTGATTATTATTTTTTAATTTTTTGTTTGGTCACACGGATTAACTTTTGAGACAGGAAATATCGTTATTGTTACTAGAACTTACGGTTTTGCATTGGATCAATTATTGTTTTAAATGGAGATGTCTAAGCCAAAGGCTGCATTCTTATCACTTGACTATAATCATTTTATCAAGTGCCGTATAGTCGTTAATGGAAACCAGTTTTTAACGCTATTTTAATTTGAAATGATACATTCCTCAATTGGTTGTACTGTTAAATGATAGATCATTCATAAGTTTTCAATAGATAAATAAGTGAAGTTATGGCCGCTAAGATATTACTATACTTCCAATTATTGCCCGACTGAGCGTGATTGAGGCCCGGGGGAGAAACTTCTTCACTTCTATAGTAATGAAGAACCGAACTTTATGGAGGAACTTAAATTTTTAACCTCTTTATAGATATATAGCAAGAAAATTGACTAGAACCTAAGGTATTAAGTCCTCCTAACTTCCGCCTTAGAAAGTCATGAATTTACGAATCATAGATTTTCTGTGTTCATATGATAGAATAATGTACTGTAGTGATATTTTGCTTTAAGAAAAGATTCAATAAAGAATGAAATGTAAAATAAACTTCTATTCCATTTTGGGGCCTACTCTGATGTGGGGGCGCTTGACAACTGCCCCGTATGTCCCTGCCTTAGTCAGGCTCTGCTTCCAATTTGTTCAATTGATTTCAAAAGAATTTATTTTACCAAAAATCCCTTTTTAAAACTTTTATGCAAATAAATGAATTTTCGTAAATTTTATTTACTTTCACTTTCGTATGCAAATAAATGAAATTTCGTAAATTTTAAATGCTTTAAAATTTTATTTTTTGAGAAAAAAATTTCAAGATTTAAAAACATTTCCAGAGTTATCGCTAAAAAGCTTAATTTAAAAAGGCACTCAGTCTTATAGAAAAAAAATTTTGATCTTTTTTTAACAACATAGTAATCATTCTCTCAAGTCTTTCAATTTTGGAAAGATCAAAATGGTAGACTTTAACTATTGTTTGGATTGGTAGAAGGTTTAAAGTGCATTTGGCAAAAAACAAGAAAAGAAAGCTGAAACAGAATCTTTAGCAGCAAACTAAAAACGCCAAGACCGCCAAGATCTTATATGAGTGTCAGAAATATGCAGATTTCACGAATTAGAAATGTTAAGACAAGAAAAGGAAGGGATATTCATTTTTTTTGTATCATATAAATAATCTAGACAATATTTAGACACCTAAAAATTACCTATATGATATATTTCAAGAAAATATTCAACAATTTAGAATTCTGTTATATAAGTAATTGTTTTTGCTGAATCTTTTGCTTTTGAGTTTAACATGGATAATGTTTTGACAGTATCAATTTATTTTTCAACTTTCAGCTAAGGCATCTTTTGAAAGGAACTATGAGTCCAGAATTATATGCAGACACGAACATGTTCCTTAGATTTCTTAGAGGTAAGACATGATAGTCATTATGATCACACTTTTCAAATCAAACAAGCGTATTTTATTCTGTCTAATGTTGGAAGCTGCTGATGGGTAAATAGAGTGAAGAAATCTGTTTCTCTCAACGGTTTTTTTTTTTAGTACTTTCAACAATAAAAGAATAAATAAATAAAAAATAAGTAATTAAATGAATAATAAAAATAAGCTACTGTTCAAATGTTGAGACGGAATAAGTAAATATATTTTATTTTATAACCACCATTAAAGAGCTGGCTCAATTTTCGGTTTACGACTACTAATGTTTAACTCCGTAATCTTCCAATTTTGAACCTAATCCAGAAGACAAGGGAACTTCTGAATCAAGTATTGAGAGAAATTTGCCTTCGTGAAAGGCTTTTTGATGAAACTAACCCTCATTTGCGTTACATGGAGAGGAAAACCACGAAAACCTCATACGGTTAGCGACGTGCACAGGAGACTCTAAACCCGTGATTCTTCTGTCTCCAGAATATTTCTTGTCAGCACTGTGGTCGGTGCAACCGGGTTCGTCGACCATTCATCACTGGGATTCAAACTCGATTCACCTTTCTGAAAGGCATATGCTCAATCGCTTGAGCCACCACGACTCGAATTAAATATATTGAAATTGATTTCGATAAAAACTAAAGCTAAAAAACAATATCTTCCTGTAATAGGTCCATTGGTAATTTGCTAATGCACGACTGTTCAGCACCTATGATTCGCATAATCGTTGATTTCCTGAGTATTTTGCGAATTCAATAAGAGAAAAATAAATAAATACATAAATGTGTACTTGATATAAAAGTATGTCAAATAAAAATTTAATAATTACGCTAGGGAACAAATTTTTTGCTGCATTTTCAGAAATACTTGATCTTTCCTGCTTCGGGTGAGGGAATTTCTAATATCAAGTTAGTTCTCCTAAAGCTGTAGATTTTTTTTTAAATGAATTGTTTAGCCTATTTTTGACGAAATGTACAAGTTTAAAAATATCATGTATAACAGGGGGTGGCGAAAATGTTTCGACAAATTTCTTGGGGAGTTTACGCCACATTATCAGAATTGTTGTTGTTGTTCATTTACGTCGCACTAAAGCTGCACAATGGGATATTGGCGACGGTCCGGAAAGCATCCCTGAGGAAGATCCGAAGACATGCCATCACAATTTTGATCCTCTGCTGAGGGGATGGCACCCCCGCTTCGGTAGTCCGACGACCTGCCCGCGAAGTCGAGCACTTTACGGTAGAACAGTTCAACGAGGACCAATACCGCACACCCTCGGTCCCTACGCGGGCTGATCCAAGTGGTCACCCACCCACACACTGACCGCAGCCAGTGATGCTTGACTTCGGTGATCTGCTAGGAATATCGGAATTGAGCCTGCATGGAAACACATGCTCGGATACGTCGTCATAGGGTCTCTTCCAGTTGTGATCCTGATGATATGCCCTAACTCCTCTAGAAATTTGCCACAACATTTATGCAAACCCCTGTTATATATAACGTTTTTAAACTTGAACATTTCGTCAAAAATAGACTAAAAATTACATTTAAAAAAAACTGTAGCTAGGAGGAAGAAACCGATTGCAGATTTGAAATCAATGACGTGAAAATATTCAAGATCCGTGTAAAAATCTCATGAAACAGGAAAAAAAATGTTCCTTAGTGGTTTTCAAAAAAGAACAATTAAATTATTTCAGCTTGAATAAAGCTTAAAAGTGGTGCTTAATTGCTGTAAAGCGAAATTATATCTCAATTACTACAAATTTTGCATATTGACTTGAAATAATACCTTTTTAAAATAAAAATAATTAAAATATTTTAAATTTATCTCTAATTTAAATAATTTACTTTTCATAGCAAGAAATCATGACATTAGTGCAGCAGAAAACATGTTAAGAACTGTAAGTATGATAAAAACATATTAAAATATTTCTTTAATTTGAAAATTTTGCTTGTTCTATTATCGATCTTTTTATGATTTTTAGTATGTTTTGATACTTTAAAGTAGTGTTGCAGCTGACAACTTATAAGACCCCATAAACGGGTATTTTTTTGATAAAAATTTAGATTAATTTTTATTAAAATAGCTTTATTCAGAACCTTGATAACCGACCGGCCTGTGTAGGGGTGAGGGAACTGGCTTTACATCAGAAAAGTTCTGGGTTTGAAGCCCGGGCAAGATATGGATGTTATTTCATTCTCTGTACTATCGGTCCTTACTGTGGGAGCAACGCTGGCCCACCTTATATGGTACTTTTGAAAGCTTGGTCAACAAATCTGCCCTTCAAATACCTGTATTGACGAAAGGTCATTCTCCTGGTGGACATTGAAAAACAAATAATCTTGATGAAATTAATAAAAATCATTGCCTTAGTCTCATTTTTTCCAAATTTTTATGAAAAGCGTTGAAGTAAGTTTTGAAATACTAAAAAATTAGACCACAAACTCTTTTGATTTTCACAAAACTGCAGCTTTGTTTCCTTATTCACGTTTTGAGCCATCTTCAGAACAAGCTTGCTTTAGATAGGTTAAACTTGGCCTAACAATCATGAGTAACTATAGCAAACTCACAAGAGTTATAAAAATTGCGTATTATTTGCAAAAATGTCTAATTTCATAAAAAAAGGTTTTGGGGGGAAAAGAGTGACGCTACTGAAGATCCAGGTCTTTAACAACACTCAATTCGGTGGTCCTGTGCGCATAATAGTCAGTTCCACCAATCAAAAACTGGTGGAAAGTCTCCCCAGACGGTACAATCAAAGGGGCGACCAATAGGACAACCCGAGTCCAGATAATCTATTCTTGTAAGTACAGGACGTGACAAACAAAGCAGTAAAATCCCCCTTTATTAATAAATTTTATCTATTTTTTTAAGCTTAAAACAAAATGTCATTTCAGCAACTTCATCTGTAATAACTACAGTAATTATCATTATTACTAGACTAATCCTTCTATAATATTGTGAAAATGAAAATTACTATAATCTTTTTTTGCAGCATATAAATTGGAGAAAAGTGAACAAAGTAGATAGCATACTGCAATGGTATATACCTCATGAAGTAAGTTATGTAAAAATTTAAAACTGCATTTTTGAATTATTCAATGGGAAAATAACAGCGGTAATTGTGATGGTGTATGAATATCTCAATATATATACCCATAAGCAGAATATTTTCAAATGTTCTGCAAGCTTTCACAGCGAAAAAAAGTCAACTTCATGTTAAAATAATATATTTTCATTTATTA